TATTCGGCCAAGACTGTCGGCCAATTCACAAAGTATGCCCAGAATGTTGCAGCAGGACTCGCCGGTCACAAGAAGACGCTCCACAAGAGCTGGAATCTTGATGGCACGTCCAACGAGAATTACAAGCCTGGACTGCTCAACAAGTCCATGATTGCCTTCTCCACCGTGGCAGATGGAATATCGCACTCTGGCAAGACCATTCTGACATCAGGTGGCGCCGCCGCCAGTGCAGCAGTCGGACACAAGTACGGTCAGGAAGCTGGTAGTATCACTAGTAATCTTGCTGGTGGCGTCAAGAATGTTGGGCTCGTCTACATAGATGTTACAGGCGTGAGCAGACGGGCTATCATCAAGTCTGTAGCCAAGGGCATGGTTGTCGGCAAGGTCAGAGATAAGAATGGCAAGGAGCAGACCGTCATGGTCGGAGGGGGTGATGGTGGCACAGTCCAGCCTAGCGATCTGAATCCTCAGTATGGCACCAGCAACACTGGTGTTGGCCCTAGTATTTCGAATGCCGGGCCAGCGGGTCAAATCTCGTTTGGTGGTCCGCCTCCCACGTATCGCACTGGCGTTGGTGAGTCGATTGAGGGTCAGCCCGCGTACTACCCGCAGGAAAAGAGGTGAAGTAGCTCATGACGCACGATAAAATTATGAGGCATGACATTACGAAGTAATATTGCAGCACGACATCTTACACGTGGTGGGGGGAACGAGAGAAGTCATGCAGGTTCAAAGAGACACGCCATGTTCGGCGGCGGAAGGGGAATAGAAATACGCTTTTATATCGTCACAGTCGTCGGTAAATTTTAGATGAGATACAAATTTATCTATAAAGTACTTCAGCATGTTGCTCCTGTCCTTGAACACGCTGGCCGGTGCTTCACTCAGACAGAGTCTCAGTCTTCCTCGTTCTACTTGCTCTCGTGATGTCGGTAGACGACATGCTCGTCCGCCAGACCCGAGCCGGGCAGCCTCCTACGTCGTCGACAGCAATCTCCGCCATCCCGCATGCATGCATGCGTGAAACATGGCAACCTGCTCACTTCCAAAGCCGATCAAAACCCTGAGTAAATCTCCGACGACATGCATGCTACAATATGTACATAGGGTACCGTGCGTCGAGCGAGGCCGCAAGGGCAGACATCCGACAATATAGCACCTGTTATCAGCATGGATGTGCATTATACACGCAGGCCTAGGAAGGGGGGGCATCTAATCAAACACCCAACAGTCTAGAATCGTCATAACATCTGCATTATACCGCAGGGTCCTGGGGTGGAAGGTTACAACTGTATACCTACTGTATGTACACAGCGTAGTCAGGACTCTCTGACTCTGTCCGTGCCTGACGTGCGTGACGTGTGGTGTGTTGACGTGCATACAGATCGTGGCGTGCACTGTACCTGTGCCTGTGCCTGTGCTGTAGGTACTAAGTATATGTAGTATGCACACACAGTACTGTACTGTATACTGTATACGCCCTCGTGATGTCCATGCTGGCCTTGCGGAGGTTTCCATAGTCCTTGTTCGGTTACAAAATGGTAGTACCGGCACATACGTACGCAATGTATCGTAAACAATTTCTGCAGGGGCGGAATACATTACCAAGTTCTGCAAGGGGTGGGGAAAGGGGTTTTGTAAAGTGGGGTTTTGCCGGGGGTTTTTTTT